AATTACATCATCAACGTCATGTCACTTTAAGTCGGTAATGTGCGAGGGACTTACTCTTCTTTGACATTCGAGATTTTACATTTTACACTACGTACATTAGTGCTTTAAATTTCTTGGTTTTTAATGAGGTTATTGTTATTCACTCTTTTCCAAGCAAAAAAAACTAATCATAATAAAAATCAGAAAAAATATCCTTTCGGTCGCTTTTTTCTACACTTTGAAAGACAATATCTTATTTTCATTCAAATCGTGGCTAGACAAAATATATTCGGGTAAAAAACCTATTAAGCTGTGTCAACAAATATTTAATACCTCATTTTATTCAGCTATAACCATAATTATTTTCGACACTTTATATTCCAACTCACAATGAAAAGTTCGATTTCATCGCAGAAAACGTATAGAACATAGCTGAATTTCTTCGACACATGTTTTTATACGACTTCAGCAGCTGTGATAAAAAATTAAGAGGCTTACGTACGCAAGCTGACTTTTCCGCATGGAACCGAAATTTTGGGCATAAACAGAAATGATGGTCTATGTATGGTTGCAGTAACTTAAATTACAGTGAAAACTTGTGAATATTATTTTCTTATCAAAATAAATAATCACACCAAGTTTAAAGAAATTTCAATCAAAAAAAATAGCCTGTTCAAAGTTTCACATCATTACGGTACCACAAAGGCAAGTCTTTCATACAAAAATGAAATTTTTTGTGGATTTTTGTATGAAAAGTCTGTGAAAAATTGATTGCATCTTAAAACTAACATAAGATTCGGGTTTCTCGTGCCAAAAACCCTCCACTACACATTCTCTCAGCATTCAAATTGAAAGAATATCATTTTAAGGCATTTTTCTCATAAGTGCCTCTTCAGAGTCTAAGTTTTACATCGATCAATCATTGTCGTTGAAAATTTGACCAGATCTATTCCTCGTGGTGCCCAATCATACCGTAAAGTCAGATTTTGAATTTCATGTCTGAGCACGAAACCATCGTGTCACCAAAATGGTTGAAAAATGATCAAAAAATGTATGGATTGTGGGTACTCCATTCGGACCAAAAAAAAATTACACCGCTCAACAGATATTGCTCAAAAACTAATCAGCACGTCTCCTAGTAGTCCCAAGTCATCCTGCAAAGTCAGAATTTGAATTGAGTTTTTGGAAGAAGATTTATCGAGTTAAAAAAAATTGGCAACACGCCACAGGACACATCACACACAGCGACGCACATTAATATGCCCGAAAATCATCTCCAATCGTGTTTTCTACATGAAATATGCATAGAAAACATGTTTTAGAGTGACTTTAATTTTTTGGCCTAATACAATACCTTTCCTACACTAGGTGTGCGGAAAAGTAATAATGGAGTGCTACAATTATTTTCCTGTTCAATATAATCGGAGGATGCTTCTTGTCATCAAAATCGCGAAACCGAAACATGCGTTTAATTTTGATAACGCGAATTAATATTTGATGTGTTGTTTTGAAGTTTCAAAAGCGTATTTTATTACACATTTTGTCAGCCGTCTAGGCGCATCAAAGTCGTTGGCATTAATCAAACTGAATCATTTGGCTGTTGCAAAGTTTTTGTCGTTTTAAAAATAGATTTCAAGAGTGCAAGAGTTATGTGGAATTTCATATGGATTGATTTATTTTTATATTTAATATTCTGCGCCAAATGTCAAACTACATGAAATATAAAGTTGAATACAATCGTATCAGTCCCCATTTCGTAAGAATGTGATAATTTGATGCATATTAGTTGTTATTAGTTTAGCAATAGAGTGCTTTAGAACATCGGCCACTTGAAATCGTACGATGTGGCAAAAAAAGTGAATATTTTTTTTGGCACACTGACATGTGAATCATTTAGAATAAATAATGGGATACATAATTTAAATATATAATTTGTTCGTTTTTCAACATTTCAAAATGCAATTCGGAAAAAAAAATTCCGAAGTAGTTTCAAATGCTACAATCAGTCGGTCAATTTTTATGCAATTTAAAAGGGGTCAAGGTTTTTGAACGAAATATTTTGTCTCATTTGTATTCAAAATGTTTCATATTTCATATATTAATATTAAATTGCGTCACTTCGGGTTTTCTTTCAAACAGTAACACTCATTGAAAACGGTAGCTTTTCTAATTATATTGCAAAAAAAAAAACTAAAATTATTTGAAAAAATTAACCAAATTTTTTTTTCACAAGACAGAATTGACGATGGAGAATTTATGGAAGGAAGAAGTGACTGAATGTGGCGTTCAATACGTTGACTTATTTGAAAAATTAGCAAAAAGTAAAGAGTTGCAGCTATTATTTGACATGGAAGTGCATAGTGTCCCACTTAGTAAGAATAATCAACGATCTATTGAGTTGCGTAATCTGGGAAACGAACAATTTCATCTAAAAAATATGTCCAGTGCAATGGATTACTATAATCAAAGTTTGTGTTTTGCTGAAATCGGTTCGAAAAATGTTGCATTGGCATATGTCAATCGATCGGCGTGCTTTTTTCACATACAAAAATACAGAGAAGCTATTGTTGACATTGAGCTGGCCGAAAGTGCTTTTATCCCTTCACACATGTTGTCGGAGCTGGAGCTGCGTAAACAAAAGTGTCGCGATTTGATTGATACTCAACGCTCTGAAAATGTGCCAAAATTAAGCTATAAATCAGATGAGAATTTCCCGTGTGTGGCTGAGTGTTTGGAGTTGCAACATAGCAAAGAATTTGGTCGATATTTTTCGGCAAAATGTGACATTCCGGTTGGAAAAATTGTGGTGGCCGAAGAGAGTTTCATTGGTGCCAGAAAAATAAATCAATCCATTGGCTGCTGTAATTGTCTTCAATTGAATATGAATTTTATTGCATGTCAACAATGCAACGCTGCTGTATTTTGCACGAAAAAGTGCATGCAGCAAAATGTGACCCACAAATGGGAATGTGGAACGCAATTCAGT